CCCCCCCCACTTTGAATCTACGAAAGTACCGGTGTTAAAAGCTGCACCACCGAGTAGCAGAAGAGCCGTCTGCCGTGGCAAATATATTGCGTAAAGTGAAAAAGGCGGTTCGGCCGAGCCAGGAGCCAAATTGTGATGGCCGGAGTAGCAGAGGGGTGAATTTTATGTATTCTGGTTTAGCTCCGAGAGATTATGACGAAGAGAAGGGAGGGGTTATTGCTTGCAAAGGAGTAGATCGCCGCTTGAAGGCAGGAATTGGGAAAGACGAGCTGGATTTTGTGGAGGAGGGTGCCTTCATGAATTTTTGCGTGTTCAGCCTGAAACTTGATGTTGCGAGAAATTAGCAGTCCTGTAGTTATTGTCCTAAAATTTCAGTTTCCTAGACATCGTGGTTCCCGAGATAGTACGTTGTCTGGACAAAAAGCCAGCATTTGCGATTTTTGTTATTCTCTGTGATTTCTTCAGCAATCTCGTACTGTTTTCCGGTCATTATGCGCTTAAATGAAAAATTCTTCGAAGAAATGCACTCCAAAATCCTTGCGTATTTCACGCTCTGACGGCGGCATTTCACGTTTTATCGTGAGGGGAATTGAGTGTCGAAATGCGGTAAATTGACGTGCAAAATGGGCGATCTGGTTCGTGATGCTCTCCGTGCTGTATGTGTTTTTTTTTAAGTTACAGAATCTAAGGAGTTATGAATGGGAAGGATATCGAAACTGTCCATGCAGAAACTGAAAATATTCGAATTTAGGGTGACATTGGGCAAAAAAGTGACTGTATTCCATGCTACTTTCTGTGTTGAATGCTTTGGAAGAGTTAATGTAACCTGCTGCTGCCTGATTCTTGATTTTTGACCAAAAGTTTAGTCACCGAAAAAAAAGGAAAAGAAAAAATCAGGAAAAAGTGAAGAAAAAAATCGGTCAGAAATGTGCAGAATTAAATACCATTAAAGGAATTTCCACAGACACGTCTTATTTGATAAGGCCGAAGAATAATTTCTTGGAAAATTGCGGCCTGTTCATAGTCTTTATTAATATGATCCTGAAAGGCCCGTACTGATCTTCCTATTTTGCCCGTGAAGCTGCTAGAAGCTGAAATTTTAAGGGAATGTTCCCCGGCCAAGTAGGTACTAATGAGCTCAAATCCAATCCCCGGGTAAGCGTAGTAATCCCACACACCCCTCTCAACCCTTCCGCCAACCCCATACACCCCCTCAATCCCTCCCGCCAACCCCATACACCCCCTCAATC